GCGCTGCAAGGTCGAGCAGAGCTCAGTCCTGCCCTGGGAGGGGACACGGCTGTCCCCAGCCAGATGGCACAGGCAAGCGGGGGGCTCAGCTGCAGGGCACAGTCTGCAGCCCCATCCCTGCCCAGCCCCAGCACTGCTCATCCAGGGACAGCCCTGAGCCAAAGCAGGTAAAATTGGACCCTGGGCAGCAGAAGGTGCCTCTCCCGGTGTACCCTCACCTGGAGTCACCCTCGCCTGGCCCACCGCAGCAGCACCATCACCCTCTCCCCAGCCCAGGCTGTTCCCTGGCCTGTCCCTGCCCGTGCTGTGCACCCACCGGTGACACTCATGCCAGACCCAGGAGTGCCGGCCGGCCTTGGGGCGGAAGTCGGCGCGGCCGTTGTTGTGGATCTGGGAGGAGAAGCGGAGCAGGCGACGGTGCCCGTAGGGCCAGTTGGCCAGGCGGGCTGAGCTGGAGAGGCAGTTCTCCTCGGCGGCGCAGTACAGCATGTGCAGCGGCCGGTCCTCGATGTACGCCGTCTCCTGCACCAGCGGGGCGTGCAGCAGGAGGTCGGAGGCAGCTGGGGAGCAGGCAGCGGCTCAGGGACAGGTGCTCACCCCAGTGCTCAGCAGCAGCAGGGACGGGGCAAGCGCCCTGCGTAGGCAGGGCTGCATCAGCCGGGGGGGATGCGAGCCCTCCCAATCAGCTGGGCACAGGCTGACCCTGCAGCCCAGTCTTCTTTTTTGGCCCGGAGCCCCGTTGCTCACAGCCCCTTCATCTGCAGCCCCTGGCCCCACAGCACCATCCCCTGCAGACCCCGCCGCCCGCAGGCCCTGCCGCCGCTCACTCTCGGAGCAGATGACCCCCGCGGCGAAGCGTGTGCCCGTGTTCCTGCAGTTCAGGCTGGTGCCGTGGTGCTGGCAGTGGCTCAGGGACATCTCATGACCGGTGCACTTCACCCCGCTCAGCACCATCTCCGTCACGTTGCTGGCGTCCCAGTACCAGGTCTCCTGGGGAGAGGGCAAGACAGGGTGGG